CTTGAGCACCTATTGGAGCAAAGGATTGTTACCCCCGAGCAACAGAAGTTCGTGTCTAAACTTATGGGGTTTGACTTCGAGATAATCTATCGACCCGGTCGACAGAACGCCGTGGCCGACGCGCTGTCCCGACGGACAGACGTGGCCGAGTTAAGTGCGATCACTGGACCTACTTGGGCCATTTGGGAGGAGATCCGGAAGGCGCAAGTAGAGGATACCCATTGCCAGGAGCTGCGTCAATCGATAGAAGCAGGTAAGACAACTGCTATTGACTACGAGCTGCACAATGATCTACTTCTACACCGAGGTCGAGTCTATGTACCCGACAGAGGGCAGTTACGCGAGCATATTTTGCAGCACTTCCATGACTCTAAAGTTGGAGGCCACTCGGGTATCTATCGCACGTGGATGAGGATAGCCAACACTTTCTTCTGGCCGGGACAACAAAGTACCGTCCGGGACTACATAGCACGATGCGACGATTGTTAGCGTACTAAGTCTGACTCGCGACGGCCAAGTGGGCTATTGCAACCCTTACCAGTACCCGAGGCAATTTGGGAAGACATCACCATGGATTTCATCGAGGGGTTACCAAATTCTAATGGATTTGACGGTGTTAAGGTTGTGGTGGATCGTCTCACGAAGTACGCTCACTTCATACCCATTACCCATCCTTACACCGCAAAGTCAATTGCCAGGTTATTCGTGGAGTATGTGATGAAACTACATGGAGCACCCCGATCAATCGTCTCTGATAGAGATCAGATTTTTATGAGCAGCTTTTGGTCTGAATTCTTCAAGCTACAAGGGACTAAATTGTCTATGAGCTCAGCCTACCACCCACAGACCGACGGACAAACCGAGGTGACTAACCGAACACTCGAGCAGTACTTAAGGTGTTATGTCCATCAATTTCCTAAGAAGTGGGAAAACTTTTTACCATGGGCTGAGTATTGGTACAACACCACTTACCACGAATCGACCAAAATGACGCCATTCGAATTGGTATATGGGCGAAAACCCCCAACACTGGTCAATTATTTCGAGGAGAGTACAGTCAACGATGAGGTTGGTCGAGAGCTTGAGGAACGAGATTTAATGCTGCGAGAATTAAAGAGAAATCTCGAGGGTTCGATTAATCGGACCAAGTCCTTCGCCGACGGGAAGAGGCGTGAGGAAAATTTTGTACCAGGAGAGTACGTCTATCTGAAGCTTCGACCATTCAGACAACGCACAACTGCGCAAAGGGCAGCTACTAAGCTGAGCGTTCGTTATTATGGGCCATATCAGATTCTGAAACGCATTGGTCAGGTAGCTTAT